TATATCCTTACACGCATGTTACACAGGTGTATATATGTAGAAAGACTAACAGTAGTCTGATAGAACACTTCTTATACCTTAAACCTTCGTCATTGCTGAATTGCTCACTATGCTATGAAAACAATCTACTTCATTGCTCTGGGGTGTTTGAGTTCTAAATAGTAGGTACTCTTTATTTTTTTAATAATTTATGCTTTTGCAAGAATTCTCAGCTGATATTTTTCCTTTTTCTGCAAGACCAGTAGACCTTAATCTAGAGGAATACATCATATTTAAATTTAAAATTGTCATTTCCCACACTTTGAATTGAACAAAATATGAAATTTTCCTGATCTTTCTCTTTAGTGGTGTAACTGTGAAAAGATCTTTCTTTAATCTTTCACATTGATTTGAAAGTATACATAAACCATAGATAACTCATCTTATGTTTCATAGCAATTAAAACTGTTATGATTTGTGCTTCATGTATTAATTCCTCTTCCCATTTTTGCTGGAAGCAATTGAATGAAATAGGTATGATTATTTGATTTTCTTTCTTTGGAATTGCTGGAGCTCAAACCTGGGGCTTCCCATATGCTAGGCAAGTGCTCTACCAATGAGCTGTATCACCAGCACTACTTGATTTTTCAATATGAGGAATTAAACCTACAGAGATTGATGCTTCTCCAAGGTCACAAAGGCCCTAAGAATCAAAGAAATTTTCCTCACTGATCCCCTAATTTCCATGAAGCAGCATTACCAGTTTCATAAAATAAGTGCTTATAAAATTTAGCTTAAAAGATGTTCAAATAAATATTTTTAAAAAGAGATGAAGTTCAATGTTCCAGAACAGAGATGAAATTGAACATTATGATAAAACAATTCTAATGCCAGTTAATAACTATTGAACATCTACTGTCTGCCGGATATTTTTGAACATTTTATGCATAATGCCTTAACTCATTAACCTAATGTTTACTGACTTGTAACCCTAGGAAGTTAGCATTATTACAAGATAAGAACTAGGAAGAATCCCCACCCAAGTAGGAATGTATTTAATCTCCTAAGCAGAAATGGGAAAGAAGCTAATATATTCAAGCTCTGTCAAGCAAAGACCTGGTCTGCCTTCTTCATGTGTTCTGTCCCTTGAACAGAGACTCACATGCATTAGGTTCTCAGGAAATATTTTACAGTTATAATGTTGAGTCAAATTTATCACTTTAGGTTGTGGTGGCTAAGTGACTTAATGAAAAGTCTACAAACATTAGTCGAAAGCTTATGCTTATTGTTATGGGTTTAAACTCCTGAGCACACCTCACCTTTAAGCAACTAGACCACACTATTCGTGTTCTTACAGTATCCTACATACTTTGATAGCATATTGTGATGAAAGTTCATTTGCTTTGCACTCATTAATTATAGTCTTTCTATATATAGTACATAAGCCTGTCTGTTTTATTCGACACTGTATCTCTAGTGAATAGTAGATGCTCAGTAGCTGTTATATAGATGAATGACTATGTTCTAAGACAAACAAAATATTAAGCCTGAGCAGTAACCAAACCATCCTTTACATATATACAGCATTTAGGCTGGGGAAATGGCTCAACAAGTAAGAGCACTATCTGCTTAAGCCTGAGCACCTGAATCCAAATCCTCAGAACGCACATAAGAAGTCCAGCCTGTAACCCCAACTCTGTGGGGAACAGAGACAGGAAAATCACTGGTGCTTGCTGGGCTCTAGCCAAGCCCCAGGTTCAGTGAGAGACCCTGTCTTAAGGGGATAAGGCAAAAAGTGATACTGCAGGACACCCAACATCATTCTCTGGCTTCCATGTGCAGTTGCATGCACTGCACGCACACACACACACACACACACACACACACACACACACCACACAAAGCATTTATATTAGCACTTGATATTCAGATGAGTTTTTCCATTCTGCTCATCTGTTTTATTATGCTCATCCACGTTGAAATAATTCAAGCCAGGGGACCAGATTATCCCTCCCCTCCTAAAAACATCAATTAGACAATATGAAGTTCCTGATCCAGTATGTACAGTAGCTCTCTCTTCCAGTGCTATGCTGGCCCGAAGTCCCATTTTGCTATTTAAGACCATCATCTTCTCTCTGCCCCTTTATAGAAGAGTTTTCTAGAGGTTTTGAGTGGACTGGTATTTAAATTTACAAAGCTATTTAGTATTTAAAACAAGAGAATTATCAAAAGTGATAAACTTCAATTTTTTTTAAACCTAAAAGTCGTTTAATATTTAGTTGCCTCATCTTATGGTGAAGGTCTAAAACTTTTATGAATTCCATGTCATCTTTGTATGAGCTATTCCCACAGTATGTTGGGACAAAAGCCAGTCTCTACTATGAGGACTATAAACTTGAGCAAGCTCCCTAAATCACTACACCATCTGTAAAATGAGAATAAAAATAGTAACTTAAGTTACAAAGGTTAAACAGTTCTGATATACTTGACTAATTCATGGGTCATATTAAATGTTTGATGAGCATTGGCAATTTTTTATCAATTTGCATTTCCATTTTTCTTGGATTTAAAAAGAACAAGAAATTAAAGATATTTACAAAATAAGTGCAGATTCTAAGCATTCGTGATTCTTCCCTCCTGCTCTTGCTTGAGTCTTTTAAATTATCTTCCACTTACCCTGCTTGTTTGTAATTGTTTATAACATCTTTCCATTAGATTTTTTAGAACAACAATGA